CCACCAGCCCTCCCGGAACCTGCTACGCCTCGGGAGACCTGGGCCCGCCCGCCCCGGCAGGGCAGCGCCCCCGTTTCCGGGTTCCAGGCTCCGGACGCCCGGCTTGGATCTGGTCTGCAGCGCCATCTGCTGGCTTCGAGGCGGAACTGCGGCCACCTGGATTCCGGGACCGCGGCTCCGGCCGGTCCAAGACATCTTAAGTGCAGCCGGCGACCCAAGGACGCCTTGACCTCTGCCTTCTTCCACCACACTGACCTTCTAATAAGCCATTCCAGACGCTGGGGGCAAAGTTAGGCAAGATGGACCGGCCCCACACTCCCGGAACCTACCATTGAGTAAGGGGAGAGCGCAAAGTCACAAGTAGCCGGTAGTTACAGGCCGTACGACAGAAGCTCAGATGCTCACAGAGGGCACCTGCTACTCTATTGTCCAAAACGCCTGCCTGCCTGCCTGCCTGCTTCCTCCCTCACCCCGCTCTCATTGGAGGGAAAATATCCTTGAGTATGTGGAACACATTTGAAATGCCCTTTATTTTGCCGTATCCACTGGAAGAGATAAAACAACTTCACAAACCTGTGAAGGAGATGGTAAGGTTTGTTGTCGTTTTGAGACAAGGTCTCACTATAGAGCCCAGGCTGGCCTTGACTTGCAGCAATCCTCCTGCCTCAGCCTCCTACATGCTAGGATTATAGGCATGTGGCACCGTGACCCGCAGGAGATACTATTTGTACCCTCATCCAAGTGCAAAGCTAGTGCTATTTTATTTTTTGTCATACAATAGTACTAGAGACTGAGCCTAGGGCTTTTACACTGAGCTACATCCCTGGCCCTTTATATTTTATTTTGACAGGATCTGGCTAAGTCCCTAAGTTTCCCAGGTTGGGCTTGAACTTGTGGTCCTCCTGCCTCAGCCTCCCAGGGTGCTGTATTACAGGCAGGTACCACCACATCTGGCTGCCAGTGCTATTTGAATAATCTTGCTCCCCACCTCCAAGGTGATGAATATGTCTTCCTACAATTAGTGAGTTTTTTTCTTGTTTTGTGGTACTGAAGATTGACTCCAGGGAGCAGTGACTTACATTCCCAGCCCATTATTAGCATTATTGCTATTATTATTTTAAAACACAATTTCATTAAGTTGCCCAAGCTGGCCTCAAATTTTCCATTTTCCTACCCAGGACTCCAAAGAGCTGAGATTTCTAGCATGTGCCACTGTGCCTAGCTACTACAGTGCTTTTCTTGAGAGCAGAGATAATGTCTGGCCCATTTTTTAAGTTCCTCTGCCACTTCACTCCACGCTTGAACATCCTTTGGAGTGATGTTGTGGCACTCTCAGAACACCAGCAGTAAAGCCAGGTGACGGGTGAGCTCAGAACCCTCAGGAACCATCTGGACTTCCCCTCTACACAACTGGTTTACACAGTTTGCCACCTACCAGGTCGGGACACAGAACCTCCACATCTGTAGGCAGAGTCCCCCACCCACAGAGATCCCCCCAGTGCTGCCTCCCTCCGTACCCAGGGGCCTTTCTCTCTCCATCCCTCTTCCAGAGCAGTTCCAAAGGACACAGGCATGAAGCATTTAGAGGTCTTGAGGACGCAGGCTGCTTTGACCCCCAGGTCAGAGATGGACAAGGCCTATGGGTTTGTTCCTTGCCTCTCCCCAACCCATATCTCTGGCTCTTGACCTGACTGCTGCATAGCAGCCCTCTGATCGGGGGAGGCTGGCCCCCAATTGTTACATTCCGTGATGATTGTGAAGTCAGCCCCTTGCACCCCACCCCACCCAAACTAAAGGTGGGCTCACTGCTCCTGAAGTTTCTTTCTGCTTCCTGTTAGCGGCTTGTTCTGCATGGTGACGGCTGTGGTGCCCAACCACCCAGATGGCCTCCAAGGCACTCAGTAAAGTGGGAGATGGGGAGGAGACCACACTGAAGAAGGAAAACCTCAATGTTATAAATGCGCTTGACCAACTGCCAAAGCCCCTTCCAAACCCCAAGTTTATGAACCGGACCATCGCTACCAAAGGACGCCCGCTTTCCTCAACAGGCAATTTGGCAACTCTGTTGGAGGCAGAGTCCATCAATCTCATGTAAGGCACAAGCACGGTCCCTCTCCGTTGACTAGGGCTGGAGCCGAGGTGGGGAGAGAGGCTTGAGGAAGCGTTTCCTCCTAACCTGTCTAACTTGGGCCCTGGGCCTTGGGGGAAGAGCACAGTGCACATTAGACCTGTTGGGTCCCCAGAGCTCTTGGTGCTCGGGCTGTGTGCTCCAGGAAGCCTTTCTAGATAGTGCTCTTATTCTGCTTGTCTGACCAGGTCCTTACCTCCCCACCCCGTGGCTCCTCCCCCTGTGCTATGTCACCTGTCTGAGGACATTTCACACAAAGCCTGTCTACCTTCCACCTGGGGTTCACTGTTCTTAGTCCAGTTTTCCTCCACTTCTTGCCATGAAGCTTACACTGGCCAGGGGTCTGGCCCAGGGTTAAGACCCAGGAATGTGAAGCTGGGAAGTTGCCCCTGCCATCAAGGAGCATCCGGTCTGGTGGCAGTGGTGAGGGCAGCGTAGGGTGCCATGAGGCACTGAGGGTGTCACAGCCATCGTCTGGCAAGTGCTATGCCAGGCCGCCCTGAGGGCCCAGCAGGGCTGGCTTCAGAGGGGCCTGGCGAGCTTGAGAGCAGAGAAGAGGCTCCCGGAGGAAGTGGTATTTGAGAAGAATCTGCAGCGGAGATTGGTATGGGGTGGTATGGGCTGAGGGATCGCGTGCAGGGCAGTTTCTACACAACTGCTCTCTTCCACGGGGCCTGTGCTTACTGAAATGCTCGGCCGTTTCAAAATTAATAGACAAATTTGAACCGGAGCCTTTACATTTCAAGCCGCACTGGTCCCACAGACTATATAGCTGTCTTGATGATATCAGAGCCACGTGGTGTCCATTCCCCAAGGAATATAAGTCAGGTATGACTTAGGAGACCACTGTTTGCAGGAAACTTTGTGATGTAGTGAAAAGGCCTTGGGCAAGGAACCCAAGTTCAAATCCAAGTTCCACCTTAGATGTACAGCCAAGACAAGTTCATTAAGATCAAGGATTCTCGCTTCCACCCAGAAGGAATGCTGTGAAGATCAGAGAGGATGTGTCCAGCAGGTGGCTCAGTGCCTTAGTGGGCTTCTGTGCCCACCTCAGCACCAACATTTCCCATAGGTGAATCTGAGCTACAGATCCATTAGGGCAATAGAAAACATACATGGTATCCACATCTAGACTTTCCAGCCTAAAGATGTAGGAGCCTGAAGGGGAAATCATTTATTGAAAATGTGCAAGGGCTAGCAGACAGGTGTGGGCAGATCAGATTCCTCCAAAGGCTGACAGGCTGCAACTCAGAGAACAAAACCACAGCCAATTGGTGAAGCAGGAAGCAAGAGGCTGACCTGGACTGAGGGACCAGTCTCTGGGCTGTGACCTATTAATGGGTCAGGAAACCCTTCAAGCTGATGGATACAATAAAAATTAACTAAAACAGAATCCGAAATTTCAGAGCACAGACAGTAGGGATTGGTTTTTGAAACATTTTAGTTATGTACGTGGATACTAAGCAGCCATACAATATGTATTTCTTACTTTAGGTCAGGGTAAAAAAAAATGGTTTGAAAGCCAAACTTTTTGGGTTGATGTACTCCATCGGTTAAAAAAAAAAAAAAAAATTTAAATAGCAGGGAATCATGTACAGAATTTTTCTTTGTAACAGCAAAGAACTAGTAACAGTATAACTATCTATGTAATGGAAAGTCATAAAAGTTAAAATGATTTGATCAGAGCTATATATATTAATAAAGAGAAATCAAAGCTCAATACTGAGTGAAAAGCAAGTTGCAGATGGAAAGGTACCGAATAATCTTGTATTTATAGAAAGTCTACAAACATGCAAATAATAGCTCTTGCCTAGGGATAAAATACATATGTAATAAGACCTAAAGAACACACAGTGACTTACAGTTAGTCCTCCTGTTACCTCTGAGCGGGAGAATGAAGAGTGTAGCTGACAGCCGCATCCAGACTTTATACTGAGATTTTTTTTTTCCTTCTTTTGTCCTGCAGTGCTGGGCAGGGAACCCAGGGCTCTGGGCATGCTAGGCAAGCACTCGGCCACTGAATGGGGTGCCAGCCCAAGGTTCCACTTCCGGAGCTGGATGAGGGCTAAATGGAAGTTTAGTATATTATTATTATTCTATGGAACAGGGGATTACACCTAGCATCTTTGCACCGAGCTATTTATTTATTTACTTAAGGCAGGAGGGCCTCCCTAATTTGCCCAGGCTGGGCTCAAACTTGTGATTCTCTGATTCAGCCTCTCAGTGCTGGGATTACAGGTATGCACTACTGCACCTGGCTTAGTATATTATTATTAGTAGTAGTAGTAGGACTGGGGATTGAACTCGGGACCTTGCACTTGCCAGGCAGGCAGCAGTATCACTGAGCTACATCCCCAGCCCAGTTTTTTGTTTTGTTTTGTTTTGTTTTTTGTTTTTTTGAGACAAGGTCTCATTATGTAGTGAGACTGACCTGGAACTCACTATGTAGCCCAGGCCAGTATAGAACTCACAGTGATTCTCCTGCTTCAGCCTCCCAAGTGCTGGGAGTACAGGAGTGCGGCACCATGCCTAGTCAGTATATTATTCTTGATCTCTCTCTCTCTACACACACACACACACACACACACACACACACACACACACAATTTGGCACCGGGGATCGAACGAGGGACCTTGCGCTTACAAGGCAGGTGCATGGCCACTGAGCAACACCCCCCTTTTGTTTTTGGTACTGGGGATCGAACTCAGGACTATGCTTGTGAGACCGGTTGTGGTACCACTGAGCTAAATCCCCAGCCCCTGGACCCTGTATATTTTTAGATAGGGTCTCACTATGTAGTTCAGGCTGGCCTAGAATTCACTACAATCCTCCTGCCTCAGCCTCCTAAGTGCTGGGATTACAGGTGTGCACCATCACACTTGGCCAATATCTCTATATGTTTAAAGTATCTCATAATTTAGAAAAAAAGAACAGAATGAGTCAAACCTGGTGGTGCATGCCTATAATTCCAGCACTCAGGAGGCTGAGGCAGGAGAAATGCAAGTTCAAGGCACAGCAAGACTGTCTTAACAAAATTAAAAAATCAGAATAAGGTTTTTCAAGGCACTCAAAAATAAAAAGAACAGAATGAGTCAAACCTGGTGGTGCATGCCTATAATTCCAGCACTCAGGAGGCTGAGGCAGGAGAAATGCAAGTTCAAGGCACAGCAAGACTGTCTTAACAAAATTAAAAAATCAGAATAAGGTTTTTCAAGGTTCACTCAAAAAAAAAAAATATATATATATATATAGTACAGTCCAGATTAACATACTAGATATTAATAATATTTAGGTGTTATTAAATATTAGTAAAGCTCAATTTATTATTTCTTTACTAGATACCTGTATACATTTTTCCCCACTCTAGTAAATTGCTACAGCCATTCCCTGCGGAACTTGCACCCCCACTTTGAAAGATTTACAATATTTTAGCTGTTTTCTAGTTTTAGTTCTCAGAACTGCATCAGAATCATCTAAAGAGCTCACTAGACCTGCAGTTTCCCTTGTCACAAACCAAGAATCTGCATTGTTAGTAAGCACCATGGTAGGTCTGATGCTCTGTTGAGAAGCACCTGGTAGGGCGGGCCCAAGGGTCCGTGGCTGGCTGGGCTGGGGTGGTCAACTTTACCTGGCTCACCTGCCTCCCCTCTGCTCCAGGAAGCCGATGCCAGTAGAGGACTCCGAGTACAGCTCCGATGATACCAGCATTTCCCCCATCTCATCCACCTCGTTGAACCCTGTCAAACTGGCCGTGACCCAGCCCAACAGCAGCTTCTTCGCTGGACTGCTGGAGGGTGAACTGAACAAGCTCAGCTTTCCCCCGACAGCCAAGAACACAGCCAAGGAGGGGAACCTGGCCCTGTGCCCCTGCCCATCTACATCCCAAATTGTCCCCCAGGGCCTGGTGGACCTTGAGAAATCAGAAGCAGACACAGACACCTCCTCCACGCGCTCGGAATCACCTGTGGTCGTGGATGTGCCCGAGCCTCCCTTCATCTGTGAACACACCGCCAGTGACTCCACAGCAGTGGTGCGTCTCCTGCGCTCCTGCACTTGGTTAAAGCTTACTGTGCTAGCCCTGAGCTGAGTTCAGTGGGGAATGCGAAGATGCTGCCCCCCGCATCCCGACCCGGAGTTCATGGTGTAGGAAGAGTGGGAGGGAGGCCGTCTGCAATGACTCCACTGCAAGACAGGTGGGGTCAGTGCCGCAGGAAAGAGTCAGATCAAGAGCCACCAGGAATTTGGAGGGAAAGAAGCATCACTTCCAGCTGAAGGAATAAGCTTGGCTTTTGGTAACATTTGCAGGATTTGGGTGGCATCTAGAGGTGGAGGAGGAAGGCATCCTGTGAAAGGGCTGGGCCCACCTTGCAGGTGTGGAGGTGTGGAGGTGTGGGAGGAAATAAGCAGCAGCCTCCTTTGCTCCTAGGTCCTAATTCAGGGCTTCCTATGTGTCCACGGCCCTACAGATCACCTACTATCTGGTCAAAACAGACTCCTGGGTCTCATTCCTAGAATTTTCTGTGATGAGATTTACACTGCTAACAAATTTCTGCATGAAGTTGATACCATGGTCCCCAAGTCCAGCAGAGCAGCAGTTATGGAGTATGGGAGGAGGAATGGAGGGCAGCAGAGGGGAAAAGTCAGTCTAGGAACATTTTCCATAGTTCGTCCAATGACCAGCTGCTTGGCAGACTTCTCTGCAAGTAATAAGGAACAGCTTCGTATAGAGCTTTGTATAAGGAAATTGATGTTTTTGGTTCATTTTGTTTGCACTGCTAGGGATCAAATGCAGGACTTGCATGTGCTAGACAAAGTGGTACTGAGCTCCTCTCCCAGTGCTGTGGGAGGTACTGAGCTGGACTGTAGTAAGGTAAATCTGGAAGGTCCATCGTTGGATGGCTTAGGGCATTGATGGTGAACCTTTTAGAAACCAAGTGCCCAAACTGCAACCCCAAGCCCACTTACTTATTGCAAAATATCTGATGCTCAGCTGCTGGAGTGACTTGGCTTGCATGCCCACAGAGAGAGCTCTGTGGGCCTGCTGCGGCACACGGGCCAGAGGTTCGTCAGCACTGGCTTACAGCAGTTTCTGTGTGGTCCCCAGATGGGGGAGGCAGGCTGCATCAGCGTCGCATAGCAACTTGTTAGAAACTTAAGTTCTCATCTCCTTCCAACACACTTGTGTCTACTGAACCAGAAACTGGGGTGAGGAGGGCAGCAATTTTTGTTTTGTTTTGTTTTTTTGGTACTGGGGATCAAACTCGGGACCTTGTGCTTGCAAGGCAGGTGGCAGAACCACTGAGCTAAATCCCTGGCCCTAGCAATCTGTTTTAATAAGTCATCCCAGGGTATTCTGATGCCATCAAAAGCTTGAGAAGTTTTCTTTCCCTCTGAATTCCTGGTGGCACTTGACCTGACTCTTTCCTGGTACAGACAGGGAAACTGAAAATAAGAGACCGGACAGGGGACAGCAGACCCGGGAATATGCAGTGTTATAAAACTTCTCTGAGACGCTGAGCCAGGCTTGGTAACTAGTAAAGCCTGCGCACTCTGGGGTTATGGGCTTGAACTTTGGTTGTCACATAGTTACTGTCACTTGGACCTGCAACCCCTACTTGCAGGAGTGAGGACAAGGCGATCTCTAAGATTCTTTTTAACTGACACGGACAGTCTGGAACACACAGGGAACAAGGGCACAACTAGGGTGGGTGGGGGCAGCCATGTTGTGGGACAGGCGGGGCCTCACCTCTGTAGACCTGCCTGAGCCCCAGCAGGAGCAGGGGATGGGAGTGGGTATTCTGACTCACACTGGAAGGACAGGGCAAGTCTAAGGAAGTCTCGGGCCTTCTCTCTCCAGATTTCCTGGACCTATGCCCTGGGCAAGCAGCAGGTCAGTTTCTACCAAGTCCTGTTACAAGAGGTTGCCAAGAAGAAAGATGAGCTGCCCAGGGCAAAAAACTGCCCCTGGATCTTTAACAAGATCTTGGGCACCACTGTCAAGCTGATGGAGCTGAAGCCTAACACGGGCTACTGCCTCACTGTCCGTGCAGCCAACACAGCTGGGGTGGGGAAGTGGTGCAAGCCCTACAAGGTGAGCCCTGGGAAAAGGGCCCAGGGACCCAGGGAGAGAGGTCTGAGTCCAGGGAAGCAGGGCCACGGAGGGAGGAGTACCCCTAGACCCCGCCTCATCTCCTTGCTAGCTTTCCTCCTGCCTGGGTCAATAAGCAATAATTTCAGACTGCTTTCCTCAGGAAGGTTTAAGGATTAAGTTACCCTAGGGCCCACCAGGAGTGCAGCTGACTGCATTTCACAGGATCATTATCACCCAGATGCTTTGGGTTCCTTAACTTATTGCTAATAATTGTGAGTCGGCCAGGAACTGAGAGAAACAAAAGGTTATAGGGGGAGGATGAAGGGACGGGCCCAGAGGTGAAGAGAGGCAACATCCAAACAACCCTCTGGATAGAAACTCAGTCAGGGAGAAGTAGGTTTGATCCTGTCTCCTTCATCAGTGACTGGGTTGGATAAAGCTACACTTAGGAGCCCACTTACCAGACAAAAAGACAGCGACAGAGATGAAGTAAGAGAGCCAGGCGTGGGTCTGGGAAGGAATTCAGAGGTTTTCTTTAACGCTGAAGGGTTTTCTTGCCTCACTTCAGTTTGCAACCGTGGCCAGGGACTTAAGCAGCTTCTCTGAGCACAGCCCCATCCAGATCACTGTGAAGCGCAAGGAACCCCAGCGGAGGACAGTGTGCATGGGGCCGGAGGACATGCGGAAGTTGGAGGATCTGGAATACCTATGTCCCTACTAGCAGAGGGCCCAGGACGCTCCTTGTCTGCTGATAGCCTTGGCCCAGGGCCCTCAGGCATCGGAACCTCGCCAGAGAGCCACTGGCTACCCTGCCAGCTCAGGGCCTGGTGGTACTGGTACCAGAATGCCAACCCTGGGCCAGGGCCAAATTCACCCGAGACACTGCAGCCCCCGACCATTAAAGAACTGCAGGTCATTCAGCATCCGAGTTCTGCTTCCTGCTTTCGGACAGCCTCAGCTGGGCCAGCTGCCACCCACCTCACAGCTCCTGCCATGACCCAGAGTCAGGATGGCTGGCGGAGTGGAGACAAGGGTGGCAGGGCAACGGGGACCTACTACCACCTGTGGCCTGGCTCTGCCATCACTCCTGCCGAGGGGCAATGACAACACTCTTCACAAGGACAGACAGCACTGCAGGATGCGGTGGCAGCCTGTACATCAGCGCTAGGTCTGAGCTCTAACGGGATGTGGTACAAAGTGCCTAAGCTTTGGGGCAGGGTCTGCCTGAATTCTGGCTGCTCCTCCTACTTGACATGAGAGCATGGGCAAATCACTCGAGCTTCCTGGGCCCAGGTAGTTCACTAAAGTATGAGGATGCAGAAAACTTCTAGGTTTGGGTGCAGGCTTAGTGTGAGTACAGCAGAATCAGGAACTGGCTTTGTCTCTCACTGCAGAGATGTGCAAGGTGGAGGCTGTGAACCCCAGTGAGATGAAGTGCAAATTTTAACAGGACAGATGTGAGTACAAAAGCATAAGGGAGCCGGGTGTGGTGGCACATGCCTGTAATCCCAGCACTCGGGAGGCTGAGGATCGCTGTGAGTTCAAGACCAGCCTGGGCTCCATAGTGAGTTCCAGGTCAGTCTCAACTACATAGTGAGACCTTGTCTCAAAAAACCAAAAAACAAAACAAAAAAAGCATTAAGGGAACAGAAGTGCCACACCCCGAGCACCTCCTACAGGGACGGTTTGGAGGCTTAACCTATCCACATGATACCACACTCCAGTCAGCACCTGGCACAGGAGAAAGCATAGGCAGAGTACACACAAGGCAAGGTCTTGGTCAAGGGCCCAAGGAGAACCGAGTGGGGATTCCACGTATTACCTCAAAGTTCTCAAGGGGCAAAGAACAGTGCTCCGTATCGCACTGTGCTCACACCCGCAAGAGCTCTCACAGCACTGCCCACAGACTGGCACCCCGCTTTTCCTGTCTCCAGCCTGAGAGCCCAGCACAGTGCTCAGTGTCCAGCAGGGCCTCCACGGGGGGGGCGAGAGGCCGAGCAGGGCTGGTGGGCAGAACTGAGCACACCCTGTACTGTGTATTGCTGGAGCCGTTAGTGTGACTGAGGTTCCACCCCTACCTGTATCAAACTTGTGAACTGCTACAGACCTTGGGCAACACAGCTGCACACACGCTGTCCAGCCCCTCCTCTCCCTTCTGACAGATCAGTATGGCTTGGGGGTCAACCAGAGCAAAGGGAGGGCCAAATGGATTTGGCACAGTCCTCAGGTGAGCCTGGGATTCTAGGACAAAGAACTATAACTCAAACACAAAATATAAGTTATTTATTTGGCCACAGAACCTGGGGCCTGACCTGAGCACAGGAGGAGGCAGGGCCAGCGGTGGAGGCGCCCACAAAGCCCGGCCGCGCATAGCCATGCCCCACCAGGGAGGAGCACAGTGATAACCACGCTGAGTTCACTGCTAACTTCCCGTGACCGATCCCACCTCTGGGGCGTTCCACAGGCAGGGGACTCTGGGGGAGACTCCGAGGGGTCTGTCAAGGACTGGAAGCCACCGAAGGGACAAGGCAGATGCACTGCCACTCCGGCCTTTGCTCTGTCAATCCAGGCAGCTGGCAGAGATAGGGTCCAGAACTGTGGGAATTTTCATCTCCTCCATCTGTGGGGAAGGGAGGGAATCAGGATGAGGCTCCTGCCATGTAATCCCAGGGGTCCACAGCGTACCTTCAGATCATTAAAAGCCTTGGCACCATCCCTGCTCTAGCCAGGGCTGCCTAAACCCAGATCTCCAACCAGCGTGGCTTCTGGGACACCCACCACCAAAGAGGGACGAGCCTTTATGAGCACAGCTTTTGGTTTCGGAGTGTTTGTCCTCCTACCCCGAATGCTCCTGCCTATGAAGGCTCCGTAAGTCCCAAGAGACAGGTTAACTAACTTCTCCATGACTGCACTGAGAAGCAGAACCCAGACCTGCTTCAGGACTCCAAAGTCCAATGCTCTAAGAATGACTGTGTTGAACTGGAGACCTGGACAGCCCAGGAGAGCGGCCTGAGTGTCTGAGTCTCCCAGCACCCCTGCCTCGTGCCCCCCGAGAACCTGGCTCCACAGACCCTGGAGACAGAAGGAGCACCCTCAGAATCTCCACACTCACATCCGGAGGCACTTGTCCTTGCCGCCACTCGCCACCCTCTGGCCATCTGGACTCCAGTCGACAGCATAGACCTAAACCGAGGGAAGTGGGGCAGTGCAGTGGCAAGGGGAGGAGGGCCAAGAACAGCCCCAGTTCCCTCTGCCCACAGGGTCAGCCCCACCTCATCCGCGTGGCCTGGCAGGTCTGTGGCCAGCTTCTGGGCCTTCACGTCCCACACCTTCAACGTGCTGTCGCTGCTGCCGCTGACCAGCAGCCGGCTGTCAGCTGACCATGCAATCTGGTACACGGCGGCTACATGGCCGCGCAGAGAAGCCAGGTACCTGGGCCAGGGAAGATGGTGATGGCTATTAGATGTTCAAACAGGTCTCCAGGGCTCCCCACGCCATCGCAGTGGTTCCTAACCTCAGCTGCTTGTTAGAATTCCTGGGAACTTTTACAAAACCACGCTGCCTGAACAGGCCCACCTGGAACTTTCAAGTCAGTCATCTAGCTGCGACTTTCCCCTACAGCCGCATGCTGGAGAGGAGCCTGGATGTGCCAGGGACTGCTATGATCCCCATGACTCCTGTGGTCCTAAGCCACAAGGCTTCTCGGAGACTCAGTTTCCATCTTGTTGTCTGGCAAATAAAACCCAGAGCCTCTACACTGAGCTACATCCTCATCCCTTTCTATTTTGAGTTGCCCAGGTGGGACTCAAACTTGTGATCCTCCTGCCTCAGTCCTCCAAGTCCTGAGATGACAGGAGCATACCACTGTGCCTGGGCAGTTTCTTTAAAAAAAAAAAAAGAAAAAGAATGACTTACTTCAAAGAGTTGCTATGTGAAAATACACAATGCTTGACCCATCAGTTTCCCTTCAGCCCCTACAAAGGCTTCCCTTGCTCCTTTCTTTTCTTGTGCCTATCTTTGCCTCTCCTTCAATCCATCTAATCCCAAAGACACTATGCCTCCTCACCAGGTCTTCTCAGACCTTAACAGGTAGCAGAATCACCCGAGTGTATCAGGGCCTCCTATAATCCCCTTGACCTTACTAAAATGCAGTTTCTGATTCTCAAGGTCTATACTGGGGCACAGGGTCCTGAGTTTGATCCCCGGTCCCCCCCTAAAAAAAATGCTGCTGGGCAAAGAGTTCCCCTGGTAATGACGTCTACACTAGGGACCATGACTCCATTTCGATCAAGCTCCCAAAAATGCCGATTCACTGTCCGCGGACCTCACTTTGAGGAAAGCAACACAGTGACTACATGACTACACCACTAACCCAGCTACTACTTTATCTTCCCTCAGGCTGCTGCATGCCTGGCCTTCATTCTCCTTCAACACAGAGTGCACGATCATACTCAGCGCCTACTTAGTACTAGTCCTAAATATACCATCTCATTCATCCTAGTAACTGTGCTGAGGTAGGAAGTGGATGCATTACAGAAGAGGAGGCAGAGGCTCAGGAGATCCAGACACTACCCAAGGCCACACAGGTAGTAGGTAGCATCACCTAGCTCCTTCCACTGCTCAGAGGACAGTCCTCCCCCTCAACTCACTTGCCTGTCCTGCCATCCCACAGCTTGACGGACTTGTCAAAGGAGGCACTGGCCACGATGCGTGAGTCGGGAGAGAAGAGCACCTGGTTGATGAGGGCCTGGTGGCCTGTCATGCGTGCAAGGGGCTTCTTGTCCTCTGCTGGGGCCCATAGGAACAAGGTGAAATCATCAGAGCCAGACACGAGTCTCTCTGGGCCCTGGCCCTGGAGAAGAAAGCACATTGTACTGGATGTTGTCAGACAATGATCAGGCACACCAGGGACAGATGCCAGGGCTGGGGGAAATGGGGCCTGGCCTGGCCACTCACTCACATGTGACCCCAAAAGAAAAGCAAATTCTGTGTACATGTGCCATGACTTCTGAGATACATACTTACAAGACAGTATGTGGGTCTTGTATTTGTAAAGAGACACAAGTATGTGTACACACAAAACGTCTGCAAGGAGACACACAGTACTGGTAGCACCACGTGCCTCCAGAAGGAATAGATGGCTGTGCAAGAGATGGGAAATGTTTCACGATCTGTCCTTTTGTATTTACATCTTACACGATGTGAATGTGCTCCCCAACAAACTACATAACATTTAAAAAGTAGTGCCCTGGAATGCAATACACACACACACACACACACACACACACAATGCTCTCTAGCATTGTTAGACTGGACTGCAGATGAGCACGAGCATGAACAACTTTTGAGAAGGGAGTGTGGAGACTGTTTCAGGGGTCAGCGGAGGAAGGGCTGGGATGCTGTCGGCCACACACTCACCCGCACAAGGTTGTACCGGTTCAGTGCCCTCTCCTTCAGCTCCTGCACTGTGTCCAGATACCAAAGGACAGATGAGAAATGACAATGGATCAAAATCCAACAAACGGCTAAAACCTGTCACACCAGAGGACTGGCTCCTTGCCAGGCAGCCCTCTCCCCTCCTTCTCCCACTCACTCACAGGACCCCCGGAGGTCTTGGGCATTAACTGTGGCCTCGGCAGGCTCAAAGGCGCCTGTACGCAGGGCATAGTCAGTGCTGAGTGCCATGGTGTTCACCCAGTGGCCGTGGCCTTGAAGAGTCCGGCACAGCACACCCTAGGGTAAAGGGAGACAGATCAGAGAGACACACACACCCCACTACACCCTAAGGCACAGGGAGATATGTCAGACACACATACATCTCATGCTCCACCCTTTGGGAAGTCAGCCCCAGAAGACGGGTGGTATGGGAGAACCAAGACCCGACGTCCAAGTCCCCTCTCCATTGGTGACATGAGAC